ATGACTGAAAAAATTAACAGACACACCACAGGAGTAACAACCCTAAATATAACAAATACTGAAAAGGTATTAGAAATGAAACAGGCTACACTGAAAAAAATGAATGGTTAGATTGGATATTTTGGACCGCCTACCAAGAAAATGTCTCATGCACAACCGCTAGACCAACCCTAGCCACATCACAATTTCAACTCGCATCAGAAAATAGTTCAGCCATCCTGGCACGCATGCCGAAGATGTTCAAGTTGTTCGCTGCCCCCGAATGAAACCTGCAAACTGCTGCACTATCTTTACCCACCTGTAAAACCACAAACCTCTCCAAATGTTGATTACTACCCAGGAAATTACACCTGTTTTTATAGGAATGAATTGAATTGAATAGTGTACTTATATGGGTTTATTTTACAGGATAATAATTTTGGTCATGTGTCATGTGATGGGCCAATGGTATGACTCCCTTTAATGGGTTCCATTTATTTCCCCACAGCATGAAATAGCAGAGAGGCCAGTAAGAAATCACACTTGTTTTGGCATATACATCCTTTTTCCATCAAGGTTATTGAGGAACCAGCTGAGCTGACCCAGACTTTCAAATCAAAGTCAGGGTTTTCAATCAAACCTGTAGTGTTGGAATAATAATTTCCTCTATTTACATTTTCTTACAATGATAATCTGTACAAATGCAAAAAAGTGATGCAAAAAAGTGTTGGGTTTAAGAAAGCTGTTACACATTCAAAATCAATCATATTTTATCGCTGAGATATCTAAACATCACATGCTAAAAGCAAGCGAAAACATCCCATTGAACATGGACCCTGAAGCAGCAGGGTGGGTAACAAGTTACTTTTTAAAATAAAACTGTGTATAACAGCTAGAATAGCCATGTATCTAGCTCAGAAAAGTTGTAAATAACAACAGGGGCCACAGAGTAATGAAAGCGACTGCTATGCATGCATATGTATAACTGATGGTATTTATGAAGTAGAATAATCACAAATGAATCATTACAATTTGAAATTAAATGCAATGCAATCACCTTTTCCTACATGCTGTATTTAATCACCATAAAGAAAATATCCTATAATTAGTGGTAAATTACTGAAAATCATAGTATTCAAAACACTGTTAGAATGAGAATCTCAAAACGTCATGTGTTATGTACAAAAAATAACAAACAAAAAAGCAAACAGAAAAACAAAATGTTTTTTAAATGGCACTTTGGTTTACTTGTGTACTGATACAACACTGACTGCATTTGCTAGGATTACTAGGGATAGGAATGCTGAGAATTTAGTGATCCCTGTTTCATTATCGATAACATTTATCGATTCAATTCCTTATCAGTTCAATAAGTTCAAAACTTATCAATATGTTTTCATCGGCTCTGCTTTGAGAGTCACCACCATCGCTAGCATATAAAAATATATCACATCTTACATGTGCTCTATTGACCACACAGTGTGTGCATGTTGCAAATGTTTGTGCATGTTGGAGATATTTCTGCTCTTTTTGTGATCAGTTTTGGGATCCATCCACTCTCTTCTGCTTATTCTCGCTGGAGCCTTTCCCAGCTCAGTTTTACAAAAAGTAATTATTACACATATTACACAGAACATTTTTCACACTTTAAAAAAAAATGCTGTATGTTACTTAATTACTCCCAGGAGAGAGTAATTCATTGTACCACTCATTACATTACTTTCTCTGTAAAATAGCTGAAACACACTCTCTCATAATTACCATTTAACAAGATAAACCTGCTACTACAACTCAACACAGCAACACAAATACATGTTCTAATGAGGACAAACATATGATCTTTCTCTTAGTATTTAGGTATGAATACAAAGCAAAGATGAAAACCGGCAGGAAGAGACTTTAAAGTAATGACCAGAGTGATTCAAACATGAACAGGTAGAAATGGAGACTGCAACCTGACTGCTCATTTGTATGTTACTGTTGATGTTAAGGGTCTTGGTGCTGGGCCGGCATTCACTCAGTTTTTACTCTTGGTTCTTGGCTAGCTTAGCATTAGCATGCTGTCCGTGCAGGTCTTTTTGTGCAGGCTGAAGTTGTGTTAGCAGCATACTGTGGTTGTTTTTGTCTTGATATAGTTTAAAGTTTACCATCACACTCTCGTCCTTTTGTGCAATAAAAATAAATGTCCACATCCATGCTGTAGATTGTGCTGCTATTTTCCTTGTCTGACACACAAACTGAAATCAGCTGAGTGTAGTGCAAGTGCAACTGGAACCGGTAAGTGAGATCGATGGGCAGGCAGACTAACAATTCTAATGAATTGGACTACTGGAGCAGGTTCTCTACAAGAACCAGTTTTCTATATAAAAACATCAAATACATTTTCAGCTGCTATAATCTTCAACATTTCATCTTCTAAAAACAATCATGTAACCTTTCAGAAAGTTGCTTAAACTCAATCAAATAACCCATATACAATTCTATTGCAATAAAACAAAAGAATTGATGGGTATCCCATGTCATATGCAATGGTAAATGGACTGATTCTTATAGAGTGCTTTTCTACTCTCCCAGAGAACTCAAAGCACTCTATACAACATGCTACAATCACCTTCTTCTATACTTATACTGCTTCCTAACCACATTCAGACACATTCATACTCCGACGGACTGGAGGAGCCAGGATCGAACCACTAACCGATCAGCAGGTGACCTGCTCTACCTCCTGAGCTACAGCTCAGCTACTTCAGTAAGCTTGAAACAAAGTGCTCACATTTTTCAGCAGCGTACCCTGGAATTGTTTGGGATTGTGAACATCAGATTTTGAAAGTTATGGGAAGGCCTATGTTACAGCGACAGCTGCAAAAAAGCCTGAAAACCAACCTCCAATATAGGGTGAAATGCAATGCTAAAAAATAAAATAAAGGAACACTTGAGAATATAGCATCACATCATTTACACTTATGGCATATTGATCCAGTTACTCAAGTAGCAGAGGGAGTTGTTAATCAGTTTCAGGTGCACTAGAAAGACAACATTGAAACCTCAAAACAGGAATGGTTTTACAGGTGGAGGTCAGATCTTTTTTCCCCTTTTCAACTTTTGACTGTTTTTTCACTAGTTTTGCATTTGGCTGGGGTTAGTGTCATTACTGGTCGCACGAGGTGATATTTGAACCCTACAGAGTTTGTACAGGTAGACCAACTCCAACAGATGAGAGCAGGTTCACCCTGAGTAGATGTGAACATTATGCTGCAACTTGTAGCACTGTTTAACATCACCAATTTGGGGGGGGTGTCACTGACTGTCTTAAGGAGTCATTTCTGTGGAGGGATGCACAGACCTCTGCAGGCTAGGCAACAGTACCATGACTGCCATTGGGTATTAAGGTGAAATCATGGGATCAATTGTCCAACCCTGCACTGTTGCATTTTGGTGGAGTATGCAGGCGTGGAGGATGGAGGAATTGATACCAGTGACTAGCCCCCATGCTTGCTTGACGTACGTCCATTACAAAACCTTTTGGACAATATGTGTCAGTCCTTTCAGTGCTACCAAGTTGCAGGAGGAGGACACCATCTGCTGTCTCATTAGGAGCATGCCTCCCCATTGTCTGGCATGCATACACGCATGCTGGTACCATACAAACTACAAAAGTGGTGCTGAAGGTTCTACAATGCTTTTTTTAATTGGCAAGTCAAAGGCCAATTAAATTCTTGTTGGTCGTCATAATTGCCTACAACAGATAGTTTCTCTTTGATAGCACAAAAAGGATTTGTACTCATTGGGCAATAAAATACTGAGACAAATGGAAAACCAATAAACGTGAAAATCTAAGGAGGAGAAATGTAGATTTACACAAGTTGGAAAGATCTTTGGCGTCATTTCTAAATAACTTTCAAGATTATTGCTTCAAACAAAAATAGGTAAATTCAAATCATTTTGATGTGTAACCACCAAAGACCCAAGCTGTCACCCTCAGAGGAAATGAAATTGGTTAGAATGTTCATGAAGAACTCAAGAGCCACCAAACACAAACCTGCCATGAACTGGAAACAGCTGGAATATTAGTGTCACTATCCACAGTGAAGTGTATTTTCATCACCGCTTATCTAGTGCTATCTAGGGTTGTGGAGGTAGCAGCCCAAGCAAGGATGCCCCCGTCTTCTCAGCCGACTCCTTCAGCCAACCCAGGAGAACACTGAGGCGTTCCCAGACCAGCTTCTCCCCTCCCCTTGTATACCCCATACTCCCAAAGCACCTGCCACAGAACATTCTGAGGGATACTGTGAAATGCTTTCTCCAAGTCCAAAACACATGTAAAATAGTTAGGCAAACTCCTGGTTCAGCATTCCATGACCAGGACAAAAACCTCACTTTTCCTCCTGCATCCAAGATTTAGTTAATAGACACTCCTCTCCAGTACCCTGGCATAGATCTTCCTAGTGGGCCTGAACCCCTGTAGTTTGAGCACACTCTCCGGTCTCCCTTCTAAACATGGGGGCCGCCACCAGGGTCTGTCAGTCCACCCCAGATCTCGATGCAACATTGAAGAGGCAAGTCAACCAGGACAACCCTACGATACCCAGGGCCTTTAGGAACTCACTGATTCATTGATTCCTGGCAGTTTGGCCACTAAGGAAGGTATCTTACCACCCAACTATGTCACGTAACCTGTTGAAGTCAACAACAACCCACCCACACTATACCACTTTCTCCAACTGGTGGTTTCCCAAAAATGCAGACGGAAAGCCTGTTTCAGCAAGACAATGATTCCAAAGAAAATCTCTTCAAAACTCCATCAAAGCTTCTGGAATGATCTTTTCAAAGCCTAAAACTCAACCCTATTGCAAACAGTGGACTACACATAAAGGTCAGTTCTGTACCAGGAAACCAACCAATTTAAATGGTCACGGTGTTACTTGGTAAGGAGGTTTATATATTTGATCCTGTATGCATAATTTTGACCTTGTGTGAATCTGAGAAAAACCCAAATAAATACAAACTTTTGAACCAACGTCTTGTTTTCAAAGTCATTAAAGATTTATGCTGTATGATAATTTTACCCTTGAAAGAGGACAGCTCAAAGAAATAATAAAAAGACCATAATTACAATGACGAGTGAAACTTTTGACCACAATTGTATATATCCGACTTGTAGTCATAATCCATAGTTATAATAATATTGTAAAATAACACATAAGGACTAGCATTTTATGGGTACATAGTGTGCCAGTTTGTAGAAGACACAGTGCTGAAGCTACAGCCTTGTTGTAAGGCCTAATCTTGGTTCAGAGTTTCTGTGTGATTATTCACTGTCCAGCTTCTTGAGCTCTGAGGAAGGACTCTCTCTGGATGGCAGGATATCGTAGTGGCAGGGGATGTGGCTGTTTCTTGGTAAATCATATGGATCCTGCCCGAACTTCACAAGGCCACTGCCATTTCTTGTGGACTGGATGGTGCTTACCGTTGAATCTGTAATCAAAGAGATATCAGTTGGCATAGTATAAGGTACAAAACTGTTGATATAAAGAACCAGAACACTATTTTAAGATGCTTACTTTTAATCATGTACCTCTATTTTTATTTGATTGAACATTTATACAAATAGAAATAAAATGTCAGAAACAGTGAGAAAGTCTAAATCAGAGAGGAACTGTGGCAATTTGTCTATTCAGTTCTTCTATTTTTTGGGACAATATTCACGTATTTCTTACCTCCACAGGCTCTTGACACAGTGTAAATGAAAATGTCAGCCTTGAAAGTATTTTGAAAAACGTAATACAAATCAAAGCATTTGTTTTTATAGTGTATGTATGCGTAGTATGGTGAGACTAGAGCCATGCTACAAAAATCAAGCGGTTCATGACCAGCCCATGTGACACATGATGTGACGTCAAAATCGCCACGAGACACTCACAGCACATAAAAGATGTTTTTTATGTTTGCATGCTAAAGTTTCCTTACCCTTGATAAGTTCATACATGATAGTTAGAATGTGCTTAATGGCACAGCTACACTAAGTAAAATAGTGGTTGGAAACTGGGACAAGACAGTGCTGTGACCAACTTGCTTCAAAGAGTGTGACCAGGTTTGTGGCCACTCACAGCTGGTTGCCATCATATAAGTGACTCTGCTGTTTGCCACGTTTTCCATGTGCCAGGTTTGCTATGCTTATTCTACTGTAGAAACATGAACAGCTAGAAATGGAGGCTACAAATCTGACTGCTCATAACTGCCTGTCAAAATTTAGGGTCTGGCAACTGGGCTGGGTTTCCCCGGCTTTATCATCACTCTGGGTTCTTGGCTAGCTTTGTATTAGCAATTTGTATTACTTTATTGTTATTAGCAAAAATAAGCCAATCGTAGCAAAAAACAAAAAAAACAACCCCCCCCCAAAACAAACAAACAGAAAAAATAAATAAATGAAAATTTATTATTTATTTTACCTGCCTGGTGCACAGATAACTGAAGAAGCTTTACAGTTCCAATTATGCTGTAAAGTGATTACTGAATTAAGTATAGTAATGCATTATATTACTGCATTGCTGAAAAATGTAATGTCAAGACTGTGGAGTCGAGGGTTGAGGGTATTGTGTTGTCAAACTACAGGTGACCAGTTGCTGCAGTCAGTCACCAAATGTGAAACAATCCAGTGCAATTACTGTACAACCAGCAATTTTGTTCTACCTGCAAGGGCATAGTTCTGCTATTTTCACTCTGAATGGGTTTTTAAAATGTTCATTAGCATGATATAAATCAATTTATCATGTTTTTTTTATTGCACATTGTATGAACTGATAGCTGATGAATCTGCAATCTACATCTACAATTCACTTCAAGAGTTAAAATGTTAAAATGTTAACATAGTGCAGTAGAAAAATAGAGTAATATAAATACTATACTCTGAAGATTACGTCATATTCTCCATCCCTAGTTCTGCATAGCAGTTATGCAGTTAATGTCGCAGAAAGAAAGTAGACAGCGATAACAAACAGAGTTCAGTCCTCACCAATTTCATAGACATTCTGGTTATTGGTTGGGCTTCTGCTGCTAATCTCAGCATATGGTGAATCCCGCCTAGCTGGTGATTTCATTTCCACATAGCCACATTCTGTGTTTTTGGTTATCAGCATGGGAGGATCCTTTATTGTGGCATATGGGTTTTCAGAGCTGCTGAGCGAACAGGAGCTGGCATGATAGGGTGTGCCCTTCATCAGATCTGCACAGCACAGACAAAGGATCCAGTGACAACTGAATATCAACATTAAAAATGACAGTTCATAGTTATGTATAGGACTTGCCTCTTAAAGATTTCTCCATGTAACTTCTATCACCTCCACAGGCTCCTGAAACCAAAAAGTCTAAATCAGTAGATCAATAACTGAACAGTAAAAGTAAAAATAATGTGAGAGATTTTATTAAATAGATTAGGCAAAAATCGTTTATAATATTAAGAGCTGGGGCTGAAGTAGAGCTAAAGTATTCTATTTTTTTTTTTACCAGTTTTAATGTCAATACAAACACTATGCTAATAAAGTCTTATTACATAACTCCACCCACAAGCACTAGGTATGTGGACTAGTGACTGTAAGGTGACAGTGTTTGTGTTACATCGATTCAGTTCCTATCTGATTCATGGTTACAGAGCAGCTGGGGCTTATCCTACCAATGTTATGCACATTCACACCCGCTGTTAACTTAGAATTCTCACAATAGTTGTGTCTTTGGACTTTAGAAAGACAATGAGTGAAAGCACCACGCAAGATCTAAATTATTTTCACAAATGTTGAATATTAGATCAAGAAAAATATTGATCATATAACACTGACCAACTGTCCAACTCAAATAAGCATCTACACAAAACAAACTCATAAAATTGACATATTAGCTCAGACTTCTCTGTTAATATAGCCTCACCTGGTGGCATTAACCAGATATTGTATGTTAGTCACTGATGGTGCACCAATTAACACCTTAACTTAAAGAAACATCATATTACACACGTGGAAGACCACAATATTTTTCCACAGTCATCCTAAACTGGTAAAACTTATTACAAATTATAATATAATTCTATCATCTTATGTCTAAAGCGAGCAACATGAAAGAAATTAACATGTTTTCTTACCTTATACCTGCTTAGTACACACATAATATGTAAGTGATCACCCAGAACTATACAAGCAAGAATCTACTCACTGTAGGTCAAAAATGCACATCACACAACCTGGATCCTCTATGTACAGCAGCCTCATTCAAAGTGAATGTAATAATTTAGCCTACCCTAGGTTGTTCGTGTCTGTCACAATACAGTTATGTGGAGTAGGAAATCATGCAATGTTAATTTTTTGTTTTCTTGATAATGAGCGCACACACACACACACACACACACACACACACACACACACACACACACACACACAACAGCTGATTATAATATTTGCAGTCCACAACTCACCCAGTTGATTTAAGCAGTCCTCGTGTTTCCACTCTGCATGTAGTGTGCCAGTATGATCAACAAGAAGAGCACATTTTCTCTGATCCATATTTTTAACGTTTACAAAAACCTGGTTGTTCTTTGCCTAAAAATGGCACAAAAATAGCTCTTAGTATGTTCGTTTACAGACAGTCAACAGAAATTGTACTCTGCAATCTCCTTGTCCCTCTGTCTTAGAGGATTTAAATCTCTACCTTTCCATTTGGACCACGCTGGGGGCTGATGCACTGGGTCAGAGTATGGTAACTAGGGTTGGAGAAATAATTGCTTAGATGGGGCTCACATGTTGCTGGATAACCACCTGAAAATTTACAGGAACTGTTAGAAACAAAGTATGTCATGTATGTATATAATTTCTTCATGTCATTGCTTTCTGGGGCAGTCTATAAAACAGTCATGTCTTTGGTTAAGCTTCACTCAAATATAGGAGACATCTGTCCCATCGTCAGTTGTTTATTTGCATTTACCATGCATTCACACTTATTCATAGAATACATCTCACATTACAAAATGTGAAAGCTTCATTTCCACAAGAATCAAGAAGACAAATTTATTTTTTTCATAATCGCAGTAAATTTAACCTCCTAAGACCCGAACTCTTTCATAGCATGCATTTTTAATTTCTCTTTGCTATTTGGGCTGATTGGGACCTGATGAATGTAAGAACAAAGAATTACCTGATTTTTTCAAAAAAAAAATTTTTGCTTCTGAGAAAACTGTGATTCACATATGAGAACATTTGTTTTAAATTTCAATAGAATAGTGGCAGTATAATGTCCTCGTAAGTGGACATCAGGCCCTTGTAGAGCAGACTTTATTATTTTGGTCTATACGACCCAAAATGTGATGTCCACATATGTGGACGCACGGTCCTAGGAGGTTAATTTAAAAAGTACTGAAGAACTTTAGCGATGAAAAACTGGATTATGTTCAGGTGCATCAACTTCACTTGAAATATTCTTGAGCTGCGTATGTGCATGATATTAAACTAAATGGATATAGTTTAGAAAACATTTATATAAGTAATAAAGTATTTAAAGTGTATAGAGTAAATGGATGAATGTGGATTGTAGTGCTGTGAGTAGAAAGAGAACTTCAGGACCAAGACCTGTGAATGGCTTCTTTTAAATCTGGTGTGTAAATAGTTTTGACTTTTGATGAATATCAAAAAAAATTTTTCCAGTTAAAGTTCAAGGAGGAATGAAATACTATAACAATACTACACATTCTACCAATTTTTTTTTTTTAGCAATTCATGCAGACCATAAGGAAATGTTCAGAGCTTTTAAAAGTATAGGGGTAGAGACAGAAAAACACATGTTCTTCTTCAGACTCCAGGACTGCTACTGCCAAAAACTCTGGTTAGTCATGGAGTGAAGGGACTGTTCATCCATGACGTCATTGGTACCAACTGGAAAAATTAGTGTCTGAGTAGAATAATGGCAGAACTTCAATCATATCTCCCACTTTGCCACCATGGAGATAGTTAAGCCTTGATAATACTCTGTGGACACAGATACAGACAGCTGGAGAGATTCCTGTTGTACACAAGTGAATGCGCATGCGTAAGCTGGCATGCAAGCCGGTTTCAGTTGCTCCTGTTTTTCTTTCTCCATACTTTTCTTTGTCTCTTACTTATTACATAATTTCTTCTGGGATTAATTAAACATTTTGATTGTGATCATATTTTAAAGTCTACTATCCGGGAAAAATACAGGGCCATGGATATCCACCTCATACTTGTGGATAAAGTATAACCAAGGCTGATAGCACAAGAGATCTCAACAATAAATCACCAGTAATGATAATTACAGGTTGCTTGTGCTTATAGCCCACATTGTAGACAGAAAGTTTGAAGAAAAGAAGAACACTGACTCTAATCAACTGTAACAGTTACAGCAGATTCAAAAACAGAGGTAATTGAAACAGTTTTGCCTGTGTGTGTGGGAGGAGGGAGAGTGTCACTGGAGATGATCATGCCAGTAAAAACAAGTTTTCAGGACACTGTTGGGCCAGTGGGTCAGTGGCTTAAACTCAGCGGAATGACTTGGACTCCGGAAAGGAAGGAGTGGAAAGACCCTTTTGAAGTACTCAGTGAACATGTAGCTCACTTAGACAGCTTACTTAACTTCGACCTGTTAGCTGTCTAATTGAGGAGCAAAGTAAATCATGTCGCAGTCCTTGGTTTTACCCCAGGGTTCTTAACTCTTGGACTTTGATTTCTTGTTTATTGATAAATATTCTCTATTTGGTTTTTGGCTTCATTATTATTTATATTTGTATCTTCTTAATAATCTGCACATATAAAAGGCATTCCCCCGGCAGAGAATCTCCAATGTGCTTAAATTATGCTGTGAAAGAGGGTGTTGGTTTAGCTCAGTGCGGTGAGCGGGCGACCACATGCTATACAGCTGAGAACGGCCGGCCCGGGTTCAAGTCTGGCCCTTTGTCGCATGTCTTCCCCCTTGTCTCTCTCTGCTCCTGCTTTCCTGTCCTGTCTTCACTGTGTTCAAAATATGTTGTAAATGAAAACTTGGCACACATCCTATTTTAAACTGAAACATTAAGATGATACTAACATTTTTTAGGTCTCTTTCTCTACCTGCAGAGGTCTAGGGATCTTTCAGGAATGGTGGTGCTGTTTTGTGGGGAATTAACTGGTCAGTAGGAAGTGATTTTATACCTAACCTAATATGTGTCGCAAATCTAACCTGCACTGCAGCAGTTTAGCTTCACAGTATAAATTACAACCTAAATTACCCCTTGAAGAAGTGACCCATCTTCATAGTACAGAAACCCCAAGGTTAACCTTGAAGTTACACCCCGATAAGCCAAAATCCTGCATTAAAGTACAGGGTTTAGGAAAGGAGAAGCAATTGCCTCTGGAAGGCTCTCATTGGAATATAGTTCTGATGTCGGGGTTATCTCATAACCCTGAGATGTACGAGGTGCTTCAACTCTTCAGTGATAAAAAAACAAACAAAACAAAACAAACAAACCTCATTTATATTTTTAACAGCTAAAATGTTATTGCTTGTCACCATGTCCAACATGTGTGATGATGAAGAGTTAGAGTGCATTGTGAAAATGTAATTCCTTTACCACGTAGCAAGAAAAACCTTCCCAAAATGATTAAGACCACGAGGAAAGTCAACTCCTGCTATTTTAGCTTCGCATAACCAGTGTTCCTTCCCTTGCTATGAAAGGAATTTTACACCTCTGGTATTTAACAATATAAGCTTAGCAATATAAGGTTTAGAACTGTAAATTTGTAGTGAGGTTAACCATTTAAAATCAATAAAACAAACAAGGAAAACAGTATAAATATTAGAAGAAATAATGCTGGTACAGCACAATGAGACCTAGTTGCAGTTTAAAACAAGTAAATATGTAAATGTACCTGTTATATTGTAATCAGCAGCAACACTCACAGCAGGAGTGTAAGTCACAGATGGCATGGTGGGCTCTTTGCCCTTCTGCTTTTTCCTGAAGATAATGAAGAGGAGCAGAAGGAAGAGCACAAGCAGCACAAGGATAATGATTCCTGCAATGGCTCCAATCTGGTAAGAGTCTACATGCATCGCTGCACTAGTCAAAGTGTTGAGGCTGCCCACCACAATCACACCAGCTGCACACAGGAGGGGGAGGGAATGTAGAATAAGAGTTAGATGTTTTTGAGTCTGTTAAGTTTAAATGAGTTAGTTTTTCTAATGGAGAGTGATTAGAGAAATCAGTAAATTTGATTAAATTAAACCTCTATAACCTCAATCCCAGAGAAGGTGGGATGCTGTGTAAAATGTAAAATAAAACAAAAAGCAATAATTTGCAATGAAAATATGTGCAGTATTTTTTTAATAATATTGCCTAAGCAAAACATGTATAATATAAACAGAATTGGTTCCAGCACAGAACCCTGTGGAACTATTTGACTAACTTGAGTGACGAAGACTCACTATTTACACAAACAAATTGAAATCTAGCTGAAAAAAAAACTACTGAATTATTGATGAGTGAAAAAGTGTTTGCCCTCTTCCTGATTTCCTATTTTTTTTGTATGTTTGAACACTTAAATGTTTGGGATAAAATGTAAATATTAAACAAAGATAACACAAGTAAATGCAAAATGCAGTTTCTAAATGAAGATTTTTATTATTAAGGGGGAAAAAATCCAGAGCTACATGGCCCTGTGTGAAAAAGTGATTGCCTCCTAAACCTAATAGCTGCTTGCGGCACCCTTAGCAGCAAAAACTGCAATCAGGCATTTGCGATAAATGAAAATGAGCCTTATCGTTATAGTGCTGTGGAGGAATTTTGACTCACTCATCTTTGCAGAATTGTTGTAATTAAGCCACATTGGAGGGTGTTTGACCTTGAACCATCTTTTTAAGGTCATGTTATAGCATCTCAGTTGGATTCAGGTCAGGACCTTGACTAGGCCACTCCAAAGTCTTCATTTTGTTTTTAGGTCTAGGATAGCACATCAATATGGCCTATTCCTATTAGGACAGACAAGGCTAATGTTAAGGACTTCAGAAAAAGTAAAACTCCATCTAAGTCTTTGAGTGGTAAGCTCATTACTGATTTGCACATGGTTGCATTCTGTTTATATTTACATTTTACACAGCATCACAACTTTTTTGTTTTTGTGAATTAGGTTTGTAGTTTGTGTCATTAAACAACGTTTGATTCCATTCTTACTGAAGTACATTCTCACCTTGGTCACATCGAGCTCCCTTCCAACCTGAATTGCAGTAACACGAACCAGTCATGTGATCACAAGTGGAATTATTTAGACAGTCACAGACCTGATGGCAACCATAACCATATAAACCAGGAGGACACTCTGGAAAACAGAAAAAGAAAAGAAAAAGGTTAATTCTGTTCATCTGGATGTAGTGCTATTTAGGATTGGTTTGACTTTAGCCACGTTCTAAATCAGTATAAGTATTGCAAATAATGGACCATCAATGATGGTAGGAAAGAAGCTGCAGAACTGCATTTGTGGCTTGTCAAAACTAACAACAGACATGGACCTTAAAATCTACCAAGGCAGGGAGGCAAAAGGGCAAGATCCAAAAAAAACCTAGTGTCCAATGTACACTATACTGCCAAAATATTTGCCCACCCATCAAAATAACTGAATTTATCCATCCATTCGTTTATCCTTTTTCAATGTCGCGGGGTCGCCGGAGCCTATCCCAGCTGTCTTAGGGCGAGAGGCAGGGTAGACCCTGGACAGGTCACCAGTCTGTCGCGAGGCTAACACATAGACAGGCAACCATTCACACCTATGGGCAATTTATTGTGTGGGGTTGCTTTTTAGGAATTGGGACTGGCTCCAGCGAAAGAAACTCTAAGACATTTTGGACAATCTCATTCTCCCAACTCTGTGGGAGCAGTTTGGGGATTGCCCCTTCCTGTTACAAGATGACTGCATACCAGTGCACATGTAAGGCCCATAAAGACATGGGTGAGCAAGTCCTGACCTTAGCTCGTTAGAACTGATAGAAAGGGATCATTTAGAGCAGAGACTGCGAGCCAGGCCAAGCTCTGTGCAGGTTAGTCAAGATCTTCTACAACGGAGTCCTGACCTCAACCCAAAAGAACAGAAAGGGATGAATTAAAGCAAAGCTAGACCTTCTTGTCCAGTATGAGTGTCTGGTCTCATAAATGCGCTTGTGGAAGAATTCCCATAAACCTTAAACCTTGTAGAAAGCCTTCCCAGAAAAGTTGAAGCTATTAGAGCTGTAAAAGGTGGTTCAACAGCATATTAAACCCTATGGATGAGAGAATGAGATGTCACTCAAGTTCATATGCACGTGAAGGCAAACGAGCAAATACTTTTTGCAATATATCGATATATCGATAATCAGGAATGCTCAAAGAAAAAATTAAAACCTGCCAAGTGAGTTGAACAAAGAGAATCTGGAAAATGGGGGATATAAGGCAGGAGGTATTTATACAAAGGTGACTGACTAAAGGTGCCACAAGTGTGGCACCAAAGGACAGGATAGTGCAGCGTCCAACTTTTCTTTAAAAACTTGAAAAATAAGACAAGATTAAAGTAAAACAAAAACAAAAACAAAAGAAAAACTGAAACTTAATATGATTAAAAAAAAACAACCATAACACAAAAAAGCAAACAAAACAGGCAGCAATATCTTGTAACCTACTTTGATCACAGTATTTCCCCATGAAACCAGTTCGACATGTGCACTGTCCAGAAATGTGGTCACAGTCGGCTCCATTCCTACATTGACAAGTCTGAGAGCAGTCCTTCCCAAAGAAACCCAACGGACAGCCTGCAAAGAAGTTATCGTCATTATATTCTGTACTTTTAAAATATGCAGTTTTTTAAATTAAAAAAGTACCTTTGACAAATTTATCCAAGATTATACCAGTATCATCTGGATCAGCCATTCCCAAAGAGAAGAGTGCTGCACCCCCCTTAAAATCCAAAAGAAATCACATGGGGCCCACCTAATCTTATATTTTCACTCCAATCAAATTCTGTTGGCTATAAATTGCTAATGCTACCTAGTCATTTGTGTTATGGCCAACATGTGACCCGCCTGCCACTGGGACACAAATGTCAATACAAGAACGACAAGCTAGCTATCCAAAGCGATCCAAAAGTATGACATCAACAGAATGCATGTCATCAATTGGCTAGTCAGTCTTATGGTCATAGGGGAATCATATGATTGTTGGGTCTGTGAAGGTTCTCAGTCATCCAGGTCATCGTAGTCAAAGGAGCTTGCAAAGAAAAGCGTCTGGACTTCTTTAAGTTACTTGAAGACGTTTCACCTCTCATCCGAGAAGCTTCTTCAGTTCTAAGGTCAAATGGTGGAGAGTCCCAGATTTTAAGCCCTATGCGAGTGTCCCCAAGAGGGTCATGGACCCTCTGTTGATCCTCTTCCTAATCACAAGAGCTAAAGTGTGAAAGTGGGTGTGGGTCACAATCAGTCGCCTGAGCCAAGGTGTGGCTCAGGCGACAGGCCACACCTTGGCTCAGGCCACACCTTGGCTCAGGCGATTAGAGGATCATCAGGGGGTCCTTTTGTCCCTCTGTGGGGGGATACTCCCACTAGGTTTATATCTGGGACTCTCCACCATTTGACCTTAGAACTGAAGAAGCTTCTCGGATGAGAGGTGAAACGTCTTCAAGTAACTTAAAGAAGTCCAGACGCTTTTCTTTGCAAGCTCCTTTGACCATATGATTGTTGGGTTTTTCTCTGTATATATTATTATAGGGTCTACCTTACAATATAAAGTGCCTTGAGACAACAGTTGTTGTGATTTGGAGCTGCATAAATGAAACTGAATTGAAAGTTGTGTCACTCAATGAGTCATGAAAGCGTCTTCTTCACAAAAACCAAAACCGCAATTTTTGAAACCCGCCAACGTGGAAAATGTTCTCACAAAAACAACACCATGTTTCCGGAGTCTGACAAAAAGCCATCGACCCAGCAGCTGGTACAAACATCGCCTCGACATCCACCTATTTTGTAGCATTTGTGTTGCATACAAATGACCTCACAGGATGTGTTGCTATAAGGACACCACACACATAAGATGGCACTCGATTGTAATAGAAATAAAGTCAAGCCGAGCTGTATTGCCTCGAGCTGCGTCGAGTCGATTGGAGTAGGTACTAATGGAAAAAGTGCTTCCATCTTAACCCAGTCAGTTACCAATAGCACGGACTATATGCCTATATATGAGGAATATAGACTCTGCTGTTAACAGGTGAGGTTGAGAAATTTCCCTTGACCTGCAAGGTTACTCAGAGACAATACTTCCCCAGAGATAAGCAGGGTACTCATGGGCACGTGTACTGGGTAATACTCATAGGATCAGACTTGGACCTTTAACACTAAGGTCACTCAGGGTGCTGGATTTGGGATGAAAGCCCCTATTCATGGTAAGTGTAATGGCATCAGCCACACATGGGTAAATCAGTCCATTTGTTCACTTTATTAGTTTGGTTTGCAGTTTTCTTCATTAATATAATTCATTAATCATTTTATTTAAACCTAACACTGATATTATGAGGCGCGCGCATAATAGCATTGTGGGGTTTTTCTAAAAATGTTTTCTGTTTAATTATGTTTCTCTTTCTTTGAATTACCTGGTTTGGGGCTGTGGCTGTTTCCTGTCTTGACTCAGGATTCTGAGAACAAAATGCCTGCTCAGCAGGACCAACCATGTGCTTATCAGGAACAGGGGTGTTTTAGGTTTACTTATGTTATTCTGTGCTTAGTTAATATTAGTGTGTGTTTTTGTTTCCCCCCTACTGTGTGTAAATGGTTTGGCCAAACCACTTTAAAAGCTACCCTCATGTGTCTTTGTAATTAGGTCAGTTTGTGGGTTAAGTTGTGTCCACTTTGTTTGTTTAAGTTTCTGGAAATTACTTTGTGTAGAGTTATATTTAGTTGACCTCTTTTATGGGCCTGCTAATTATGTTTTGGAATTTTGTCTGTTTGAGAGTTAAAATAAAGAAAACCCTTTTTGAAGACATTTTTTTCTGTGTCCTCTATGCCTTGGCTGCTTGGTCCCTCGCAGTAAGGACCCTACTTGTCTTGATGACAGTGGCTTCTAACAGTCCCATCGTATTTAGATGTGACTGGTCCCCTCTGGGGATTAGGACTGTCTGGCCTTAAGTTAGCCAGTCTGGGTGCATCTCATCACTTAGCAGCTTTTTCCATTGTGCTGTCAGAAACTCATGGATTCCAGTTAGTTTTGGCCAGTAGGTGTGAATCATGTCAGGGCTGTCAAACTCTTCATACTTTACAATCTTTCTTGTATGCCTGCCACTGTAATGTTTAACTGTTCATGTAGTGCAATCCCCTCAGTTCTGCTCTTAGCTACACCAGCCACTGAGCATCTTTCTTCCATATGCTATTCCAGTATTGCTCCGTCTCCAGTCTTGGTGGTGCATTTCTCATATCATTCCTTTGCCACTGACAGTACAGATTGAATTATTTAGTGGAGAACAGCTGGCTTTTTCTCCTGGCTACTATCTCTCTGGTATACCGTTCCAAGTGGGTAGTCAAGGCTTGGTAATCGGCCACGGAGGGTCCAGGTTTCAAGCTTAGCCATGGTCTTCTCTTTCAGCTCAGCTTCTTTCAAACTCAAAGCCTTCAATGGACCAGTTGTTCATCGGGTTTGGTACCCAATCTCAGAGAGATGATGATATCTCCCCCATGGCCTGAGGTCCTGGCCAACCCTTGCCAAAGCATTTGTGTTGTACCTCATTTCTCATCTCTAGTTGTAGCAGTTGCTTCTTCTGGATGTTGGAACACTGAGCTATTAGTTGATTCGCTCTTAATCTAAAAGTTGGGTGACAAAGAAGCCATAGGTCCCACATCCTATTCATGTAACCACCTTTTGCTGGAATTCTTTGCATAGAAGCATTCCAACAGCTCCTTATTCTCATCCCTTGCCTTCTTGTTCCGGTAGCCCACTTCTTATTAAGGTCACTCCTCTTTAAAGTCAAATAAACGCAAGTTTCATAAAAATTCTAAAATGTCTTTTATCTTTTAAACTATGCTTAAAATTTTAATGAAGCTTATGCGTATTAGCTTCCACTTTGTATGGTTTAAATCTCAGTGCCCTGTCATTCTCCCTCTCATGCTCTCATTCATGCAGCCAGCATTCTCAAATTTCCACCCCACCCGAGTCACTCAGAGCACCATCAAAGCTCCTTAAGTCCAAGGGGTCCTGTCCTAAATCCTGTTGTCACTGGGATTCTGTTCTGCCATGATGAGTCATCGTATCTAATTGCCAAATGCATTAATTTTTCTATTGCAACGAATTATGTTCATTTCTTCCAAATTATCTCTCCTTATTGAACTACCTTTTTTTGTATTGGAAACATTTAGGAAATGATACTGGTATATGGGGATTCGACATATCACATTAGAGTTTGCATCAAATATCCTGTCCCATTTGACCTCCGATCTCATTTTTACAGTACACATCCTATACATAACCTTTCTTTCAAGTTGACAACAAAATGTGTTAAATCTTTAAAGAAAGTATTGCTAAGAGAAAGAGAATGAGGTGCAAGTTAGTTAGAAAAATTGTACTATAATATTATATAACAAGTTATATTTATATACATGTATAACAACTTTTCCATGTCCAGTTATTTACAAATCAATACTTTTTACTTACTCCTACATAATGTTTGTCTAAACATCTGTCATGCCACCCTTATCTGATTTTTACTGCACTACAAACTTAAACTATTTTCTTAAAGTAAAAAAACAAAAGAAAGAAAGTGAAATTAATATATAGAAATACTATAAAAAGTAAAAACTGCCAAGAAAGGTTTGGGCCCTTGGATTGTTTCTTATCGTTTGTTTTTTCAGTTTGAGCATGGCAATGCTCGACAATGGCAGAACAAAAATTTGTCTTTCTCTTAACCATTTACAATTTGGACTAAATGACATAACTTGGGTGTGTGTTTATGTGTATGTGTGTTTGCAATTTGACTGACGCTGTGTGCAGTAGAGGCCAGTCCATCCTGGGCTGCACTTGCATTCTCCATCATAAGCGCTGCAGTATGCTCCATTGTGGCAGTTACATGTGTGGATGCAGTTGGGTCCCCAGTGACCAGTTGGACAAGCTACAAAATGTGATAATCAAATGTTAGTGCTAGAACCAGTTGATGGCTAAATAATCTTTTCTAAAGAACCTTTCACAGCACAATAATTTTTTCATAACGAAGAATAATACAGGGCGGTAACATTATCAAGCATATATAAATTGCAATATATAATTATTTCCAGAGTAAACCCACATTGAGAGCAGTCACTGCCAATCCATCCTGGATAACACTGACAGGAGCCATCGATAGGATGACAGGTTCCATTGTTTGTGCAGCTGCAGCTCTGGGCACACTTCTTCCCAAAACGACCGCTGGGACACACTGTATAGACATGTGTTAACATGTGTCATACTTTACTCAGAATATTACATCAAAGATTAACATTAACAGGAAGCTTGACCACTAACCCTTTACCTACACTAGTTGAATTACGTGACCAGCATTTGTTTCTTGGAAGCAACAGTATGTGGCCTGTCACTCACCCTCATTACACAGTGCTCCCTTGAAGCCTGGCAGACATTCACACTGTCCTGTTATGTGGTGACATGGTCCATTACTATGGACACATTGTGGACAGGTCTGACTGCAGTGGTGACCAAAATAACCTGGCGAGCAGACTGCGAGCAAAACAGAGCAAACACAACATGCAATTTATAAAATTGTTGGATCATATATTTGTGGATAGTGAGGGGATATTTTTTGTGGTAATTTTATTCCTCTGTCCACCATCCTAGTGGATTTTACAGTACTGTGCAAAACTCTTGAGCCACCTTAAATGTATTTATATTTTAGTTAAAAGGAGCCAGAGAAGTTATCTTCTCCACGCTTTTTGAAGGTCTTTTAAATGTCTTTTTTGAAGATTGATTCTTTTCCACCCATTTTTAGTTCAGGCCTTGCACCTGACCATTTGCTGAGTGATGCTATTAGGCCATTTAATCATTTGACATTAATCATTCAAGCATAAGAAAACACACCTTACTCAAGAGTTGCTGTTCTCTGACTTTGTTGACTCTACTTTCTGGGACAGTACCCAAGCCTTCCCACTCTTGATTATAACCAGTGAAGAGTGCTATATAAATCAATAAAGTAAAGTAAAGTAAGTGATTGTATATCAGTTGTTTGCCTTCTGTATTTAACTGTGTGAGGATATTTCTTGATTATAGACTTTGACAATGATACCCTACCTCCTCGAGTGGGTGTTGTGAAGCCTGGCAGACATTCACGCTTTAGCTTTTATTAACTAAAGTTAATTCATTTGATCGCTCCTAAAGTTTTTGGTGTTTCTGATAAAATTTGGTTTTCCACCTTATGTTGACTTTATTTGCATTGACACCTCTCAGCTCCACATCTTTCAACTTCTCATGGAATAATAAGCCAACAGGCCTCACTTGCCCATGGGACTTCTTGTCATTAAATGCTCAGATCACTTTTGAGCCTGTAAAAATATCTGACTATGTATATGAAAAGCTGCAATCCCTGAACAGTTAGTGTAATACTTTCGTTAAACTCCTTACATTAAAACAGAAAATCTGTAGTTACGTGTTTGACTTAAAATACTTGTGTCATCATTTGTGTCATTGTCCAAATACTTATGGACCTTCCTGTTATATATTTTAACATTAAACGAGTTAAGATAATAAGTACAAATATTTTAATTGAACCATGTCAAAATATTTTAAAGCCCCTAGTTTAAATCATCAGATGCAGGTTAATCATATCACATTTTGCTTTTGATGTTCATTTTTTCTTTCAAATGTGAAAACAAGGTTTATTTCTGTTCCAGACTTTTTTTTTTTTTAACAACACTGATATTAATCATGACTATTGATGTCTATAATAACTATTAAATCAGAGTGAGGTTAAGTAAACCTATTTTAGCTCACCATAACCTATGTGATGATTTTACAGTATTGTGTGGTGTTGATGTAGGACTTACTTCTCTGACAGGTTGGGCCTCTGTATCCTGGAGCACACTCACAGGTTCCTTCATCTGGAGAGCAGGATGCTCCATTCTTACAGTTACAGGGGAGGGAGCAGTTTGGACCCCAGTGGCCCTCTGCACACACGCTGTCACAGTGGATACCTGTTCACACGCACAGATGTGTTTCCATCATTGCAGTACATTCTTACATTAATTTGACTATCAAATACTGCAATCCTGAATGTGAATGAAAAAAACCAAAACATCTATTGATGCTGAAGGAGAAGTGAGTCCATTGCTATTTTTTAGAGGTCTAATTGAGGATCAGCAGCAAAGCCCCCTGCCAACCCCCCCTGGTGAAGATCACAAAAAGAAGAAAAAAAGGGAGAGTAAGGCATCATAAGCTTTTAATTACGCCTTACAGTAAAAAACAATGGTCCCATCCTGGACAGAGGCCATAATACTGGATCTTCCTAAAGAAGGCAAAGACCCGACAGAGTGTCAGTTTTAAAGCCCAATAATTATGTTAAATGCAGACCTCCGCATTTTGAATACAATCTTAGCATGCAGACTTAATTTAAGTCGTGTCTTCTGTTGTAGTAGCCGCTGGTCCGTCTGTGTATCCACCATGTTTCATCTGTGTGTTCTCCCTGCTGTCCATCGTCACTTACCTCTGCCCATCCTCCTTCATGTTCGTGCTCTGGTTCGTGTCTTGTAGTTTAGTTGTTCTCAGTTTAGACAGTCTGCAGTCCCGTTTGCCGTTTTTCTATTTTGTACTTTGTGTTCAATAAACCACCTTCACACCTTTACAAGTGCTTGCGATTGGATCCTCCTTTATCATCTCCACACGGCTCATCTCACTCGCCGTGACAGTATTTTATATCCTATAATAAAAGCTGTGTTTGTTTGTTTTTGTTAAAGTTCTGTCTGTGAATCTGGATTTGGGTCCTACGCTGCCTGCTTCACAGCCAGTTTATGACACATGGCACATTGTAATTAGGTATTACCCGTCCATCCAGCCAAACAGCGGCAGTGACCAGTAGCGTGGTGACATCCATCAGCATGATTGCAGTCACAGCGTTCTTTACAATCCAGACCATAGGTACCATCCTAAGGGGAAAAAACAAACAAACAAGGCAATCCATGAAGAAATGTAAAAACATGTTCATTCATATGACATGTGGCATTTGGTTATCAAGATAATCAAAAATATGGTGTATGGTCTGAGGTGTGTTACAGATGTTTAGTGTTATTAAAAGCTGAGGTCCAAAAACAGTTCAAAAACGTTCAAACTTCTCAATATCAGATTTTGTCTTTGTACTATATTTATTCAAATATAAAATTTAAATGATTTGTATTTTTGTTGTTTGAATTCTATTTACAAATTTAATAAGATACCACTTTTTTGAAAGTAGTGATAAAACATAGAACAATGATTTTCTTTTCCAAAAAACTTTGGGAGCTTCCATATAATCCTATAACTCACCTGACAGTGGAGTTCACATCTCTCTCCTCTCCAGCCCGGAGCACAGGTACAGTGACCATCCAGTGGGTTGCACGCTCCTCCGTTCCCACAAATGCATGCGGAACCACATCCCAAACCCCAGGTGCCACTGGGACAGTTGATGGAGCAGTCTAACCCATGCCACCCTGATTAAACAAGGTCATTTATATTTGAACACATGTAAACCTTACTTTTGATTAACTTATGAAAGCATTTTTATTCAGTGCAGCACAAAGATCAAAATATTTCTGTATTAATATAACACACGAACTGAGATTTGTATTAATTTGATAAACTGAACTAGTTGAACTAGTGCTCAAATATAGTGTAGAATATTTACTTCATTTGACCGAGTTTTGAAAGAGAGAGGGAGAGAGAAAACTCGAAAGCCTACACAGAATGATACTGTACCATAGAAATAAAAACACAACTATGGACATTGATGAAGGTTATTTTTTATATTGTGGGGACAAAAGAGACTATTGAAAAAGATCAGTTAAACAAATGTTAGTGAAGAGAAGCAAGGTGAGCATCACAAAATGTGTTGCAGGCTCTAATGTGTGTGCAGAGGAGATAAAGGTGTTGCTGGACTAGGAAGGCAAAGTCTCTGACCTCGCATTTTCATTCTAGGCTTCAACAGGCAGTGCTCATGAATTTAGACAATACTTATTTAACTTTTGCAATCCTTTGACTTTAGTTTAAATTCTTGGATTCCTATATTCAGTTATCATTTAGAGCAAATACTGCTTTATCTCAGCAACAGTGCACTATGGACCTGGGAATATTTTAGATGTGATGAGTCAAACGTTTGACTCATCAAGTGTTTATCAGAAGGATATGAATAACCAATCCAGGGGAACTATATAGAGAAATGGCTGTAACTTGTAGCAAATGCAGGGGTTATATTAACAGTAACTAACCTGGCTTACAGGAACAGGATCCATCTATGGGGGAACACTTAGCTTTGTTCTTACAGTTGCAGCTGGAGGAGCAGTTCACACCAAATGTTCCTGCTGGGCATGGCACTGAACATATGGGACCCTGAGAAGATTAACAGACAAAATGCTAACAGTGACGACGAAAACAACACAGTTTCATTTTTTGGTAACTTTGCTTGCTTTTGTCTTTTGTGTAAAGTTTGATCATCAACAGACCTGAAGGGACAGTTCATCAAACTGTATTTGACATAGTCACATAGCACATTAAAGACTTCTGAGCCACTCTTCTTTTACTCTTGTTTCTTTTCTGCGTGCCTTATAGCTTTGGATAGCTTCATTATGGCTGTTTAAAATGTTTGAGTGTAGCTGCATAGCCACTTAAAGAGAGGCAACCAAACATTTCTTAGATGTTATTTTTCATGGCAGTGTAATACATGCAAAAATGAAACAAACTATTTCCTATCAGCTTCTTAGAATATTATAAGCAGGAGATTTAAGATTTTGGATTCTGTATAGATGAGGATCATATTGCCACATCTATATAGAACCCAAAATGCAAACAATTGCTCACTGAATCTATTTGGATACGACTACTGTGGCTGGAGAACTGGTTGCCTTGACACAATTCTTTAAGCACATAATGTAGCCTCACAAGCTACATTATTCAAAGGAATTGATGTTGTGAGGAATAATTCTGAGCTTTGACTACACTCGTTGCTAAGCTAACCCATTTTGCTTTCACTTACAGAGTAGGAGACAAGTAAGTAGGGAACCCAACTCTAGGAAAGGAAGCAAATATTTAGATTTTCTAAAATTTTCAACAGTCCCAAAATAGTTGTGTCCAGACAGACAAAACTATCATGTGTAAGTGTGTGAAAAAGGAAAATAATTAAGAACTTTTTTCTGAAAACAGAATTGCACATTTTGTCGACGTTTCAACCTGTTGCCACTAGATCTTTCTACAAAGCCACATATGCAATAACAGTACGGGCAGAGCCTCACATTATCCATTTGTTTGTTGGTAATTTTTGAAACATTAATCTATACTGGAATGATGGTTGTGAATAAGGCAGTCAGGCGGGTTAATGGGCCCACACAGTGTTTGGAAGTATAACTTGTGCTTGTATTATGTATCTTACTTAAGAAAGGCAAATAGATTTCCCATGAACAACATGCATTAACAATTCCCAGCAGAAAATACTGCTTGCATTACTCTGCAACATTTCCTTCATTGCCAAATAACTCCCATTTAAATTGCCAGAATTATGCACCCCTCTGCCTTCACATCCCATTCTTAATGCATAGGGTTTACAGTAGCTATAACAGCTGCTATTTACACCTATAACAGCTTCAACGCCTCTGGGAAGGTGTTTATGGGAATGCCCAACTCCTGCAAAACAACCCCACAACTTAGGCTACGTTCCCACTGCAGGCGAAAGCGCATCAAATCCGACTTTTTTGACCCTGTGCGACCCATATCCGATCATGGTATGACAGTGTGAACAGCACAAATCCGATATTTTCAAATCTGACCTGGGTCATTTTCCGATACATATCTGATGTTTTAGAAAGCGACTGCTGTTTGAACGGTCATGTCGCATTAAATCCGTCTTTTACATCACTGACACAAGACAGATGCCAATTATCAGCGGCGGAGAAGACATCGTGAACGCTTCCTGGCCATCCAGTGTAGATGTCAGTGAAACTGTTGGGAAGACAGTATTGGAGAAATGTGAACATTTTATTTGTACTGTATAATCTGCAGATTCTGACAGAAATCTGCAACTATCCTTTGAAGCACCGCTCCTCTCTAAAACAGCCACTTGCAAATAACAAAATAACTTTATAACATAAAGCAAAATTGGGAAACGTAAAGTAGGAAAAAAGTCTTTATATTAACGGCCATCAGTCAAACAATACTGTTTGGTCTGGGTCTAAACAGAGTGCGTTGTGTGTGACGTCTTCTTTTGCCGCTTTGAGCGTTCACACTAGAACGTGTTTGCTGTCACATTTTATTTGTAGCGTGAACAAGCAGACAAAAAAATCGAATTTGATCAAAAAATCGGAATTGAGCATTAAGACCTGCAGTGTGAAGGTAGCCATAATCCCCCTCCGCCAAACTTTAGACTTGGTACAATGCAGTTAGACCAAATACATTTTTCCTGGCAAATATCAAACCTAGACTTGTTCCCCAGATTGCCAGATGAAGAGACACGATTCATCACACCAGTCAACATGTCTCCACTGCTCTGGAGTCCGGTGGCAGTGTGCAGCCAACATTTTGCATTGTGCTTGGATGCAGCTGCTGGGCCATGAAAAAGGAATTCCATGAAGCTCTCTATCTCATGTTCTTGAGCTAATCTGAAGGCCAGAGGAAATTTGGAGTTCTGTAGCTACTGACTCTGCGGGGCGATCGTGGCTCAAAGAGTTGGCAGTTTGTCTTGTAACCGGAAGGTTGCCGGTTCGAGCCAAGTCTCGGTCATTGTGTCCTTGGGCAAGACACTTCACCTGCCGCCTGCTGGTGATGGCCAGAGGGGCTGATGGTGCGATATGGCAGCCTCGCTTCTATCAGTCTGCCCCAGGGCAGCTGTAGCTACAACTGTAGCTGCCTCCACCAGTGTGTGAATGTGAGAGTGAATGAATAGTGGAATTGTAAAGTGCTTTGAGGGCCCCGAAAAGCGCTATATAAATGCAATCCATTATTATTATTAAAAGTGGTGATCCGTATGCCTCAGTATTTTATGTGGCCCACCACTTTTATGCTATTGTTCCTAATCACTTACACTTTGTTCTAATAGTTATGTGGGATACTTAGAAGTGAATAATTTCATGACAGGTGGCATCCTAGCACAGCCTAGCTTCATAGGTTATTAATGTGTTATTATTTGGAAACAGATGGTTTTGCATTTTGCAGCTCTGTTTATGCTGCTTACTAACTGCAGTGATTACTGAATTTAGACAGCAATGCATCACATTGCTGCTTTTCAAAAAACATGCAATATGATTACAGCAGTGTCTTACAATATTGCATGTACCGTGTGCAGTATACTTAGGTCTGATATCATGCATCACATATTTATGATTTGTGACATAAAACACTCACTGGCATTAACACATACTAATATATGGGTTTACCGTGAAGCCTGGAGCACAGATACACTCTCCAGTGACACTGTGGCAATCAGCACCATTCTGGCACTGGCACACCTGCTGACAGGACTCGCCATAAAATCCTGGAGTGCACGTCTCATTGCAGTAGAGACCTGACCAACCAGGCAGACATGTGCACTCCCCTGATATCGGGTGGCAGCTGGTGACAAGAGAGAAAACGATAATAGTTATAAACTTTGTTGAGGTGTTTCCTACAGTCAAGATTCCTACTAGTCAGTACTATTTCCTACTTAAAGTATTTAGTGTGCTTGAAACAAATTTTTCTATGACCTGTTTTTTTTAAGATCAGTGACTATCTCTAGTATTTAATCTCAAAGGTTAGCTAACACACTAGTAGCATTTCTGCAGTTAGCTACAAATATGAAGTGCACTGTCATGCTTCCCTGTGGGACTGAGCTTTAGCTTTTCTTTTAGCTTGTACAATTTCTCTACATCCAAACAGTGCTCACTGGAAACATACTGAAAGCCTAACAGCAGTGGCAACAGGCAAATCAGGCCATAAGTGTTTCTTCTAGCTGTCTTGGTCTAAATCTGAAGAAAAAAAAACAAAAACAAAAACAAAACAAAAAACCTAATCAAACTATCAAACTATCAAAAATCTAAATCTAAAAATTAATTACAATATACCTGAGGAAGACTTTTTTCATTTTTCAGTGTGTGGGTTAACTGTAGTAATACAGGTGAAATGTGGCTATATTTGATAGTAACAGAGTTTGACTGACAGATGGTGTAGCTGACACAGCAGTCCCATTGAGAAAGAAGCAGAACAGCTGTTATCTGCAATGACACATGCAGCCCACCAGCTGTGCTAGGCTAACTGATCACTACACTCAGTTGTCTACAGACACAGCGGTCATATACACAAATCTATACACGCAACATGTCAAACTGCTAAAACCCAAAAGATACAAAGGAAACACAGAGTTATATTTTGGAATTCGGGGAACCGTGAGGCAGCATTAATCAAATGGCTTCAAACTGACCTGATCTGCAGATCAAAGTGTGTCAAAGATGACAACATGATTTACTACATACCTACGAGTGCTTTGGACATAGCACGGACATTTCCTATCGCAACGTAGGCCATAGATTCCTTCAGGACACAGTCGGACATCACATGTCTTTCCTGTGTATCCTGGTTCACAAAGACACATTCCATTGCTGTGGTAGCACTTGCTGTTGTTTTCACAATTACATGTCTTTGCACAGGCAGCACCATAAGTACCAAGGGGACACTCATCCTGGCACCTGTTTATAGAGACACAGAAATATCCAGAGACAGTGATTAGGAAAAAGAGGTGGTGATCAATGACCATTCTCTCAAATGAAATATGAATTGTTGCGTATTTAGCTCCGTGACTATGGAAAGAGGCCTAAGGTTAATTTGTTTTTTACTGGCTGCAAATCTGGAATGTGTGGTTGTCTGTCTCTTGACAGTCAGAAATATTATAATTCAGATCATTTATCAGTACATATCCATATTTTATATCTATGTATAAATACAAAGAGTGATGAAACCTGCAGCTTCAGATTCTGTGAGATGTCGGCTTTCAGCACGTGCATGTCCATGCCCGTCAGGTGCATTTTTGCAGAATCCATTTACCTGCTCTCATTTGTTGTTTTAGCTGTTTGGCAGTTGTTGAAATAGTTTAGTGACCTTTAACCTGAGATTTTGGCGTTTTTCTGGCAAAAATCATTTATATTAAAAAAAAATCGATTCAGGATGTAATGAATCGATATTTCATTATTCAAACTAAAATCAGTTTGAATCGGGAAATCAATTTTTTTAAACCAACACTAGATAGCGAGCAACCAGGTCGAAAACAACATTGTGTTTCTGGTGTCCAAGGTTCAAATAACAGAGAGACTCTCCTTTCCAGCACCTTGGCATAGAGTTTTCTACCTATAATTGGAACTCACCCTCTGGTCTCCCTTCTTAAAGATGGAAACAACCACGCCAATCTGCCAATCCAGAGGTACCGACCCTGACCCCTCCACACAACATTGTAGGGGCGTGCCAACCAAGACAGCCCTACAACATCAAGAGCTTTCGGGAACTCAGGGTGAACCTCATCCACCCCAGGGGCCCTGACACCAAGGAGTTATTTAACTACCTCAGGGACCCCCAGAGATAGATGAGTTGTCCCTCTTGTCCCTATCCGGTCTTTAAGTCTGACGTCATTAGACATTTCTGGGCACAAACTCTGCTGCAGGTCCCTAAGTCAAATGATCACTGCAGCATTACTGTTAGATTTGTATTGTTGATTGTCATTTATGCTTAGAAATATTTACTTATATATGCTTAGAGTTTTGTAATTAGTTGTAGATTGGTAGAGGTTTTGATCCTTGATAGTCTGCAAACTTTGTGTGTATTAGACAGCACTTTGGGAGCATGAGAGGTCATACTGTGTCTTATTGTTTTATGGTAGGATTAACGTAGTTGCGTCTGTTCTAGTCTAAGTGCTCTTTGTTTAGATGAACTGCAGGACTTCCTCACCGTGTTATCTAGGATGAACCATCTAGGGTGAGGGGGAGGCTACCCTCTTCCTGGCCAAGGATGTTTGACCCTTTGATCAGCAGTCCACACACACACACACACACACACACACACACACACACACACACACACACACACAGGCAAGGTACTCTTTGTGTGTATGTAGACGTCATATGTTAATGAACTTATGCATATTCATGTAACCTCAATAAAAGAACAGTGGTACGGGAGAACGGACGAGAGCAACTGGGGTCAAGCGAAGGAACGGTGCCTGTCCGGTTCTCTCCCGTGCACGAGAAACATGAAGAAGCTTGCCTACTTGTGTCTTGCTTTGCAGTGTAATTATATTGTCTTCAACGTTCCAGCGGATGGGTTCAAGCTACAAACCTATCAATTACTGAGAGAGAGAAAAACTGTCTAAATTCTTTCTTCTCTAATAAAATGATCAGCGTTCTGCTCTACCAGGTGTAACAATTAAGTTTAACATCCAGGCATCCATGAAAACAGAATTTATGACATTTAACGGCTTTAGAAGTTAGCAGGGAGTTAGCTTGCTAGCTTCCATCTAAATATAACTAACCATGTTCTGACTGAAGGATTTATGAAACAAATTCAAACGTACAGCTCTGCTATCACTTCCAACATAAATGAAGACAGAAAACTAAACAGCAGCGACATTTGTAAGGTTACTGAAGTTAGCTGATATATAATGATGTGCTACGTGATCGCTAGTGCGACAAAGCTATGTAAGCATTACTTAAACAGTAAATCTGGAGGACAAATGCTAATGAACGCAGGAATTTTTCCCACTCGATAAAAGTTAATGTGAGGGCTTCCAATGGTTAGGGGCAAATACCATCGCATGGCAGGATGCCGTAAACAGACCAAACCTCAGTCAGGAGAACAACTGAGATAATCCATCCACAATACGAGGTTAGTCATTAATATGCTGCTGCAAGGGCTGGGCTGTGGTTACATCGTAAGGTTTTAAAAACTGAGCTTTAAAATGATTAGTGGTAATGAAAACCGAGAGAAGCCAACAGTGATCACTGACAGTTTTTAGGGGCTTGTTGAGATTAAATAGAACAAGATACAAAGCATTAAAACATGTTAAAAACACAACAGCCTTATTAAATGCAGACTACTTTGGGCCCGGAAGCAGGATTCATCACGCCATCACTTAAAGACCGGATACTCCGCTTCCTCCACGGATGACATGCCAGTGGGATTAAGGAGGTTCTCGAGTATTCCTATTCTTTACTATCTAAATAAATTCACTGAAATTTTTACACTAAGTCCTGCATTTGAATCCTGCTTTGCCTCGTGGTGTCCTTGGGTTTTGCACCGAGGGTTTTGAGTTTTTTGTGAGCTCATGATCTGTTTTGATTTTGATAAAGAACTTATGTTTAGCTTTTTTAGTTTTCTGATAGTAGTTGATCATTGTTCCTCTGTGTTTGGTCATTCCCATTTTTGATCCCTCTCTGTTTCCCATGTCTGTCTAGTTCTGTGTTCTCTGTCTGTATTTGTCTGCTCTCCCTGTTCAGTTGTGTCAAATTAGTCTTCTCTCCCCAGTCAGTCATGTCTCTGTTTATCATTTGTCTGTGTCAAGTTTGTACAACGGGTAAAATAAGTATTGAACACAAGTAAATATATTTCTAAAGGTGACATGAAATTCTCACCAGATGTCTGTAACAGCAATCCATCCAATCCACACATCCAAAGAAATCAAACAATAAATGTGCATAAATTAAATTGTTTAATAATGAGAAATGGCACAAGGAAAAGCATTGAACATGCTTACTGAAATGTATTTAATACTTAAAAAAAAGGCTTTTGTTGGTGATGACAAGATGCCTCATGTATGGAGAAACTTTGCTCAGGTATGCTTTTGGCCCATTCCTCCACACAGTCTTCAAATACTTAAGGTTCTACAGGTCCCTTCTATGCACTCTGAGCTTTAACTATTAGTTATGGAGATGCTTGGTATTGAGGATATCCTGATTTTTGGGTATAAAAAACCCTGTACTGTACTGTGGGGCTTTGTTGTAAAGGTCTCTCTTACCGTTCTCCTGTGTATCCAGGGCTACAGATGCACTGTCCAGTAGATGACACACAAACGCCATTGTTGTGACACTGACATTCTTGGGAACAGTTTTTTCCAAATCTCCCTTCTGGACATGGCTGACCACAAACTGTTCCCTGCAGACAACAGCACAAACATGTGTTTATCGTATACAGAATCTGCAATAATAACTTCAATAATTATAACTTCAAAAATAAATTCTCTTCCTATCAAAAGTATCAAAAGTTTCTCTCTGGTTTAGTTCATGCTTGCATATTACCATAAAATACTAGCATGTCTAGTGAGCTGAATTTTCTTAAAGAGTTAAGGAACAGTTAGTGTTTGTACCATCCATCCTGCTGGACAGGAGCACTCTCCGGTTACATGGTGACACACTCCTCCATTCTGACATGGACATCTCTCCTCACATTGCTGCCCATGTTTACCTGGTGGACAGAGTTCTTCACACCTTCAAAAAAAAGAAAAGAAAAAGAAAACAACACTACATCTTTGCACTACTGAGTTTTCTTTGAGATTATAGACAACTAGTAATTTTATAGATATAAAATTATAAAGTAAAATTGTGCTGACCCTTGTTTCACTAAAACTTTGTTTTAAAGTTGCACTTTCTGGCATCAACTCGACCTGCCGTGTTTGATGGAAGAAAAATTCCGAATATTACCTAAAAGAACACTATCCCTATAGTCAAGCACAGAGACGGAAAGACTGTACTTTGAGTACTATTAGTCTTTGCTAATGATGCAGGACAACTTCAATAGACCTGGGCTCTGTACTGTAAAATCTTGGACGAGAACCTCTTTCCCTTTCCCAGAACATGTGGGATGGGTCTTCCAGCGTGACAATAATGGAAACAATCCCACCAAGGCAACAAAGGAGTGGTTAAAGAAAAACACACACTTAAGTCACAGTGTGTTCTAGTTTCTGTAAAGAGAAGTGGGACAAAATCTGTCCTTTGTGCAAACCTTTAGGGAAACTAGAAGTAATGTCTTACTACTGTGCTTCCCAACTAGGGTTTCTCCATCAGTTAGTAAGTCAGGTTTTTCTTGGTGATCAAATAAAAATTAGAGACTGTTCATTTATTCATAAGTGAGCAGTCTAACTGATTCAGTGGGCAATCAAATAATTATTCCCCTGACAGTAGATACTATATATCTATCTATATAATGGAAAATTCTGTGCTTCAACAATGATATAAAATTTAAAAAAGATCAGTATAACTCCTTTTTATTGTCATCCATTAATAAACTAATCAGTTCCTCCAAAACACTAGTGTCTGAATTTAATAAATGTTCTATTACTACAACAAAGTTTCTAGTAAAAGGAAGAATATTTCTTGTAGTTATTTATTCAGCACTGCCACACATTTTTTTCTAATCTTTTTCATAATTTCTACATTCAATTAAATTTCAGTTCAATTCCGTTTTATTTATACAGCACCAAATCTCAACAACAGTCACCTCAAGGTGCTTTACAATCTAAGGTAGATCGGAGAGAAACTCAACAATCATATGAACCCCTATGATGCCCTATTTGGTGACAGTGGGAAGTTAAAACTGCCTTTTTACAGGAAGAAACCTCCAGCAGAATCAGGCTCAGAGAGGGGTGACCATGACTGGTTGGGGTGAGGGGAGGAAAACAAGACAAAAGACGTGCTGTGGAAGAGAGCCAGAGATTAATATTTACTAATGATTAAATGCAGAGTGTGTCTTTAGTGAATCCAAACTAGGATGTGGTTCCACAGAAGAAAGTCCTAAAACCTGAAGGCTCTGCCTCCCGTTCTAATTTTAAGTATCCTAGGAACCACAAGTAAACTAGTAGTCTCAGAGCAAAGTGCTCTATTGGGGTGATACGGTACTATGAGGTCTTTAACATAAAATGGGGCCTGATTATTCAAGCCCTTATGTGATGAAAAGGATTTTAAATCTGATTTTGGATTAAATGGGACCCAATGAATAGAAGCCACTATGGGAGAAATATGCTCCCTCTTTCTAGTCCCTGTCAGTACTGTCAGTGCAGACGTTTTTAGGACAACCTGATAATAATAATAAATTACAATACTCCAGCCTAGAAATAATAAATGCATGAACTAGTTTTTTAGCATCATTACTGAAGTCACTTCAGAATTATCTTTAAAATCTTTCTATTAATTTGTAAAGCTCTCAGTGCTTTGGTCTCTGACGTGCACCGTAACCATGTCAGACTTCTCATCTGGTGCAACAGTTCAGAGAACCGTCCAGTGTGTGCACACAATGTTTAAGAATAATGATATGTGCTGTATAAATGAAATTGCCATGACCATAGATACTAGGCTTTTAATGTTATGTCACTGTTGGCATTAGATGGAGGTGGGCACTCTGGTATTCTCCAGTTGCATAATAACAGGCAGCACCAATCTACGATTTCTGCTGGTATCCATTCTTATAGATGCCTACCTTTTCTTTTATGTCACTGTTGGTATTAGAAGCAGGAAACCAATTTAACAAATGATCTCTCCAGACTTACAAAGCACCAGTGTATCCCGGTGGGCACTTGCATTCTCCGGTCGCATGATGACAGGCAGCATCATTCTGGCATTGGCATTTCTGCTGGCATCCATTCCCATAGGTGCCTACTGCACATGACACCTCACAGCGCCAACCTCTGTATCCAGGAGTGCAGATACAAGCTCCAGTGATAGGGTTACACAGAGCTCCATTCTGGCACTGGCATCTGTTACTGCAGTGGGAACCCCAGTGATCATTGTCACAAGCTGAAAAGAAAGAAAGAAAAAAATCTAAATACATCTTTTTTTATCTTTCATGTTTATCTTACTTGACATGTGTCACAGAACTGGACATAGGTTGTCATTTATAATTGCATATGAAGCTATAATAGATCATTAAGTTAGAGATGCCTTGAGTCTGCAAGTAAAATCTATTATAGGGAGTTAGCACCTTATTCGGCTTGCACATAAAAACTCACTCAAAACACTCATCAGTATCACTGTCCAGATCTTTTTTTCAGTCCCCCAGAGTGCTGAAGTCGATTTAAATATAGCTATAATTCTTATTTTTTATAATAATAACAATAATAATAACTACTCATCATTCTTCACTACAAAATGCCTCAGGCTCTCTTAGGTGTGCCTTTCTCGAATGAAAAATCAATGTGCTCAGCATTGTGTGGAGTTTCTGGGCTTTCCTAATTGCTTTCCTAAACAAATAAATGCAGCGCAGCTTTATTTCTGCATCCTTCATTATAACCCCCATCTGAGTTGTAAGTGTAATCTTTGCTCCTCTATACCTGGAACAGAATATTCTTTTCTGGCACGTCATAGTATAGTCTTCTGCCTTTGGTTCTTCATGAATATAGCACCATCTACAGGTTTTGGGGGTTTCTATCAGGCCAAATGGTTTGTGGGTGGAACACTGGAGTTTTCTGTATATTCTGCTGTCAGGAAGATATTCATTTTTTGTTGTATACTATACACACATCTAAATTTAAAGAAAGAAAGAAAGAAATAGGTGCCATTTAAGCTACGCAAGGCTTTTCTGCATTTGTCAACACATGGAGTATTTATTAGCGGTAACTTATTCATCTTATTCATTGTAATATATCCATGATTTGTGTATTATCATCCATTTTCCTGTGGTTGTCCTGCTAAATTGACATATAGCTGGTGTTGGTGTCAAAGTCTTTCTGTGTATTCACATTTCTTCTTCTGTTCTCAAGTTATTTGTTCCCTACCTCTTTCTCCTGGCCTCCAACATCCCTCGTGCCTTATTGCAGTGCCTGCTCTAATTTCTATCACTGTCAATTCCTATGACTGATTTAGTAAATCTTGTTCTATCTGTCCTATACATCACAGTTATTAGAAGTCTAAGAACTGTGATGTATAGAATCAAGTGGCTTAAGAGTACTGGCACCAGGATGTATACATGTAAATTACATCTGCAAAGTTAAGGACTGTTAAAATGTTGCACAATCCTTACTGCTAAAAGGCTGAGGATTGGCAGCATATAATGTTGCAGAGGGAAAGTCTCAACTAAAAATGAACAAAAAGACAACATATCCACTAGGGATGAAGCACCATCCCGTCAAGCTCTCATTAATTTATGTTTAAAGACTGATAATTGCCTACAAGAACTGACTACAAATCTCATCAGTCCAGTGCATGACCTTCCACACCATGTCCTCAGTGCAATCTTGTTTTGTCTTAAACATAAGCAACTGGCTAATACATTTTAGCTGTAGTTTTTTGGGCTTCAACTTTTATTCTCAAAGCCTGGTGTATCTGCTAACTAATGAAAAGCTGCTGGCTGTGAAAAATCCGCAGTAAAACACACTGATTGCAGTTGTATCCTTTTACAAGCAACTTTATTTCTGCATGTATTAATATGTAGTGCAATGAAGCACCGCAAAAAAACTCAGGGACTCAAAAATACTTGTGGTTTCCAGTGCTATCGTAGCCTCCTAGTAGATGCACCTATAGTAATAATAATAATAATACATTTTATTTGAGGGCGCCTTTCAGAAACCCAAGCTCACCTTACAAAAAACACAATTAATAAAAGGAACAATAGTCATAAAATACATAAAATAAGTTAAAATTACAAAACAGAGCGTGACAACAGATAAAATCAGCATTAAAGTGAATAAGCCAGTTTAAACAGATGTGTTTTGAGCTGTGTCTTAAATATAGTATAAAATTGAAAATCTTTGGTGTCATCTTGCTTGATTTTCAGAAAAAATAACAGATAGTTTGACTGAGAGTCTGACTGAGAGTCAAAACTAGTCCAAAATTTTTAATAGTTGAACACAAATCTGAACAAAATGTTCAGATTTGTCAATAAAAAGGTAGTAATAGCTCTCAGTTACATTTTAAGTCAAAATAAATAATTTGTTTGTTTTTTTTATTAGCAATAAATGTTATTTAAGGTCGAGCTCCTTCTTTCGACTACCACAAACAGCTTGGCATTTATATGCCTAGCATGCAGAGTAATGCTGCCATTTCCAGCTACTCCACTATTCTGAAGTTGTTCAAGTGATTAAAAGGCTCCTTTTCTTCCTTCTGCATTAGTGCGCTTCACTCTGGCCTGATAAAATGTACATACTCTCTTACCTCCGGCGGTTTGGCCTTGTGTGACAAACAGCAGCGGGGCTGAAGGGGGAGGAGGAGAATAGAGATACTAACATGTACATATAAAAAGCTCTTCCATTCAAGTCCACTATCACGATACCTTTTTGAAACCTGACCTAGATTGAATAAAAGCTCAAGTCCAGGAGCTTAGGGCTCTTCATCTACTTCCCGGAGAACAGATTGTTCTCTGTCATCAGCCTATTCAAAACAGCCACACACACACACACACACACACACACACACACACACACACACACACACACACACACACACACACACATGCAGAAAAAATACTGTGGCACGGTTTTGTCACAACGCTGGTTGCATCACAGTCTCAAATAGGATCCTAAGGATTTTATTTTCTAAAATGTTCAACATGAGAAAAATTTGTCAGACCTCACATTGTTATCCTGAGCTCTCACTTTCTGCCACAGTAAATTCAACTGTTTTATGTATATTCACTTGAATCTGCATCAGATAAATTTTAAAAGCTTCTTCTAATCACAAACGAAGAAAGAGTATAAAAGAGTTGGGTGCGTAGAGAAAAGACTGGGAGCCAGTGACTGCCAGTTGTTCAGAGTGGGTTCAGATCTTACTCTCCACACTGGGGAGCCTGGATGTTTTTCCATCTATTTAGTGATTACCCAGCCTGCCAAAAATGGTGCACTCATGGGAACAGAAAGCACTGTCACACTAATACGAAGGATTCCCAGTGAGAAGAAACAGCTGTAGCATTCCTCCAGTTTTCCTCTCTCAGGAGGTGTGTGTGTGTCATCCTCCAGAGTTTTTAATTGTCACGTTATTTTGTTAAGCATGTCTGTAGACAGGTAAATCAAACCAGTTATTAGACATGTTCACAATTTAAGGAAATGAGAGAGGGTTTTTAGGAAACACTGTTCAATGTTCGGTTTCTATGCCACATGTTAAAACAAGATCTAGAGAGTGATTAAAGTGGTGGGTTCTTTACAGGCTGTCAGTTTTAGTATCTACATGAATGTTAAAAATCACCTACAATTAATTATTTTATCTGAGCTGAGCACTAAATCAGATAAAACGTCTAAAAGAGGATGATTTGGGCTTGTTTTAGGGCGACAACACCTGGGCACTTTGCAGACATAAAGCCAACCATGAACTATACTGTATACCAAAGTTTTCTTGAGCCAAAGTGAGGCCATTTCTCAAACAGTAACAGCAACGTTTTTTAACGATTTAAATATTAATTAAATATTTGAATAATTTAAATAACAGCAATACTATAATTAGTTATAAAGCATTTTGTTGGCTTTTAGGGCTCAGATCACGAAATGTGTGGGCATTATACAAAATATTTTTGCTGTTTGAGGTGGAATTACGTTTAATCATTTCTGTCATTAGCAGACTACTGAGAGTCTTTGTTGACAACTAAGAGTTCAAAGTGAGCTACCGATATAAACACAAAAGAGAATATTTTTTACGTAGACAGTGAAACATAGTCCATAATATTGATGTTACTTTTATTTCACAGCTGAATTTGAGCCCCTCCTGAGGATCTTGTGCTATTATCATGTGTACTAAATCACAAGCTCCACTGCCTCAGGTCATTTCCTCCCGCAAAAATTTCTCCTCCTGCTATTACTCCTAACCATAACCCACTCCTCCCCACCCATAAACACACACACACACACACACGCACACATGCACATGCACACACAGCACATATTGTCTTTGCCATTTCCTGTTCTTCGTATGTCAAATTGAGCCTCAGACATATTGTTGTGGTTCACTGACCTGTATGAGACAGTCAGCAGATTAGTCTTTCTTCGATCTTTAGGCCATTTAATACATATTACAGAAAGCCACATGAATATGAACGGAGTGACTAGTTCCATATACTGAGCTATTTTTGCTACATTTTACAGAAAAACCTAGTCCCTACTTCAGCACCCATTTCAAGTCAAACATGTCAGTGTTTATTGATTATTGATACGATTATTGATGTCTTCCAACTGCAATACAGATTGTCCATCAGATATTAAAAACATAAAATCATTTTCTAACAATAGCTGTCATTACTGATGAAAAATATTTCCCTCAATCACACACACTGGTCCTCACAAATTTGAAGGCCTTTTTGAGGCTCAAAATGTGGTTTTAGTGTCAGGGTTACAATTAGGTTAGGGTTAGGGTTAGGCATTCATTTTTAGTGGTTAGGGTTAGGGTAAGGGGCTAGGGAAACCATTATGTCAATGAAGGTCCTCACTAAGATAGCTGAACGGGCTTGTGTGCATGTGTGCATGTGTGTGTGTGTGTGTGTGTGTGTGTGTGTGTGTGTGTGTGTGTGTGTGTGTGTGTGTGTGTGTGTGTGTGTGTGTGTGTGAGCAGTAAGCAGACAGGCCTGCCCTAAGGGACAGACACAACAAGCTCTTTTATCACAGGGTGAAACTGAAGACGATGGGACACACCGTGTGAGGCCCTCTTCCATTTCAGTATTCAGTATCTCAGTCTGCATGAACACGCATTTACAGATTCATAAGAGCAAAAATCACCTCTTGGTAAGTTTGCATCAACAAAATAATTTAGGGAAATGACTGTTAAAGGCAACAAACACAAACAACAGTCTCAAAATAGTGATGAGCTCAAGCTAGTTTACC